CCATTAGGACACAAGCCAGAAATAACTGCTTGCTCGTACTCCAACCCACCTCCTCTAGCAGCCAGCCTGGCTCTGCAGGGCTCTGGCAAAGTCAGGGCAAGCGGCCCGACTGCTTCCTCCCCACCAATCTGCTGCTCAGAGCAATTGCCTGCTTTGTCTGCAGCAAAAAGAGGCCCTGAGTCCTTTAAAACTCTCTTTACCAACCAAACCAAGTGATGGCAAACCTCTGGCACCAGGGCTGACTGAGCTTGACCACAGCAACAATGAAAAGCTTTTAAAAACTTTTGGCAGAAAGCCTGCAAAACATCAGCCCTCAGTGGCCTCATCCCTTCCAAACTGTTGTCAGGAGTTAGCTACATTTATGTTTATTCACAACAGATGTGAAGCTTCAATCTACCTATGTGCCTTTATTCCTCTGGGAAGGTACAAAAGGAGATGAAGAGAAGCCACAAAGGGAAATCTGCTGAAATAATAACAAAGGTAGAGAGAGGAGACAGAAGAGCTCTTCCTGGGGAATACCCACCTCATGGTTCTGTGCAGTCTGCCAGGAAAAACTTCAGGCTGAGGGAGGATATGATGTCACTGAAAGATTTAGGGAGGCAAAGGAGAAAGGACGGAAGGGAGGGAACTGTGTGTGGAGGAGAGGCTCTGGTGAGGGGTGCAGAGAGCATATGGAGGCAGGAAAGCACAGGGAAAGGTGGGTTCCCCCAAGCTGGTAAATACACATTAGCTCAGAACTTAACTAACCCAAGAAATGTACGCACACGGCTGTCATACGCTTTAACACATGATGTACTCATGTTCTTTTGACAAAATTTATCACTGCTTTGTTCTGGTTCTGAGTCATTTTAATCAACTACTGTCTCAAGTTCATGGGAGTAAACCGAATACAAGTACTATCGTCAGCATTACACTGCATTTTAAAGCTCTTGTCTTCAGCCTACAAACAATTAAATTACACAGTTCATCCGCAGAGGAAAGGGATGAAACTCAGCTTGGTTACTGTGATGTGTACTGAGCTGTTCTAAGATTCAGAGCTAGAAATGTCTAATGTGGTCTTTCTTGGACCAAACAGAAGGAAAGAAGACATGACTGGCTGCCCGAATTCCCTACAGAAAGCAAAACCCTAGGAAACCCTTAGGGCAAATAAAGAGCAAACACAACAGCAGGCAAAGAGTTAACTCCTGGGGGAAAAAGGGCTGGGGGCTATACTTTATTTATTAATTGCTAATCACTTCACACCTTGGACCTGAGCACAGGAACTCAATTCAGCAATTCAGCTGTTAGACTAGTTCCTGGTGATCCCCTGGCATGGGACAGATTGCTTTCTCCTAACCATCCTAATCACAGCCTGGGAGATGAGACGGCACAAGCCAATGGCTATTTCCAGTGGGCATTCTGGGTATAGCAAACCTCTTCTGGAGGACAAGGGAATATAACAGAAAATATTTCATGAGCCAGCACCGTTAAGAGATTCTGGACCTCTAAAAACCAAGGCATATTGTTAAAAGCACTGCTGTAGTTTATTGGTTACTTAATAATATGTATCTGCAAATGTTGAAATAGATGGATTAAAGACTGATAAATAGCAGTACTGCATTCACTTTAAGGAGAACAGAGAGTAGATAAGTTAATGTATCTAATATTTTTCCTATGATGTGAAATATAATACATATCTAATTTCACAATCTAGAAGATTTCAGTAAAGGGATGCTGTAAGCATTATGGCTTACTAGGAAAAAAAAAGGCTTTAATATAAATGCTATGGCTAAGAGAGGCTTATGGCTATAAGTAACTGTATGCTTACAATGCCAAATTAAATGAAATAGAACTAGAGAAGTGGCACTGCTACAAAAGCAAGTACAATACATTCTTTCCCCACTGCACAGCTGATCTCCTCTTGCTCGGTATTATGAATGCTGTTCTGCACAAAGCAGAAAAGGTCTCTACAAACGTCCAGGAAAACTTACAGAGTGATAACACAGAGTAACAATACACCTAACTCTCAAGGAGAGTGGAAGACGAGGTGACAATACACATCCTATAATCACATTTCAGGTGAATTTTACACTGCATCCCAAAAATATAACGTAATTTTGAGCACTTTTCATTCTAGGATAGTGAATTAGAAGGTGCAACTCCAGGGTGTAAGCTTAATCAGAAGTAAATAATTGAGATAGTCCTAATTCAGACAAGAAAAGAAATCTTTCTGTTGCTAAGCAGCCCAGAAATGGATGATGATCACTGTACAAATACAGAAAGTAAGCTTTTTGTGCATGAGAAAAGCTGAAGAGCACAGAACTGGCAAGCAAGTTGCCACCAGACATGAAAGATCAACTTGCCACAGCCCTGAATGCAGGGAAGAAAATCAGCACAACTGGGATGTCTCCTCCAGGCAAAAGGAACCAGGCCATTACCAGCTTCCACCTGGATGATCATCATTAATACAACTGCAGAAAAAACAAGACCCTAGTTTAGCATTTTACCCCTAAGGCCAGTGCACTGAACTGGATATCTGGTAGTTCAGCAGCACAGCAGCAGTGCTGGACCAAGTCCAGGACACAGCCTTCTGGCCCAGGAGGAAAAGTTGTTATCAAATGAAGCGTGTTGACAACATATGGAGGCCCCTGCTACTGGAGCAGTTTCATCTTTATCCAGAAATAAAAAACATGTAAGATTTTGCCAAACACATGATTTGAGAGCTCTGCTACTCAAAGCACTCTGGCCACTGATATGGCTTGCAATAGACTGCTTTGTTTTATTGTTGACTTTACATCTTATCAAAGATTTAAAAAAAAAAAAAAAAACAAACAAGGAAAGGAATTGTGGATTTTTTAAAATCTGAATTACACATGCAACAGGGAACTGTGTAGTACTAAACATGTTTATCCAGTCTGTACCACCTCTTTTTTATTCATTCCCATCCCAAACTAACTTAAAGCATGTCTGAGAAACTGAAGCTACAAGACTTTCAAGTTCCTTGTTTAAAGTGTGCATGCACCTACAACTTTAAGGGCATGAAAGAAACCCTAAAATGCTCACTCCAGAAATACCCATTCACTGAATACTATGCTTCTTTCTTTGTCCTCTTACATAGACATCTATTTGGGATGCAGTGCTTATGTCCAACCTGATCTCCACTGATGTGAATTAAAAATATCTTCCATGGAAGCTAGATGAGTTAGAAGGAATTAGAAACAATATAAAATGAGATTCAGAATTCTCATTTTCATGTTTGTTTCTATTGTGATAATTGAGATTTAAAAAAATAAATACATACCAGGAAGTTTTTATATAGGAAACCAACCACTGACTTAGAGAGAAAACCATCAGACTGCATGATGTGTCATGCTGCAACTCTCTACCAGAGAAGGCCATGTTTCTTCTTAAATAAACAAAATTATTCTGATTCACTAAGAATTCTGCTCTCGAAAGGAATGGAAGCAATAAACTAAATGAGGATTAAATACCAGATCTTTTCATCCTTCAAGGCATTAAAGGACCAGAATAATCAGACTTTCAAATGCTACGTCAAACTCTGCAGAGCAGAAAAGCAAACTTCTTGCTTGTTTTGGCACAGCAAATTCTTTACAGCTTACACTTGTTGTAACTCTGAAAATACAACATTGTGTTTGCGAACCCAATAGATCATTTTCCTATCCAAAAAAGGACAGCTTCTTTTATAAACATCACCAACTAAAGACCATTCTGCGGGAAGTACTGCGTTATCTGACTTCTCATTGTAAATAGTTGCTTAACTTTTTAAAACACCTCTTCAACAAAGGAGAAATTCTGAGTAATTAAGCACATGCTTTGTCAAAAGAATAATGTTTAATGTTCCCCAGTGAAGTGTAAAGGATGAAATATCTCAGGTAAAAAGGATGCTATCTGGACATCAGCGATTAAATGTGGTTGTAATAGCAGAAGCAAAATCCTTGATCACTATAATCAACCTGAATTTTAGTTTGGGAGACCCATGCATAGAAGTTGATGTGAATGACCACTCTGCAAATGATTCACGGTAACTGAGAATCAATAAAAGAGCGTTCTGGCTAGTTCTTATTAGTTACTGCCTTCTTCTAGAAAGAAGCATTTCAAAAGCCCACACTGGTTCCAGAGGCTAGTGATTGTGGATGGCTCAACCAATTCAGCGGAATCCATCAGCATGCTTACTGAAGGTCAAGAACTTACCTACTGTGGGCTTCTCTACTTGGGCATCTAAAGTTTGAGACGCTCTAAAAAAACAGTCATAACTTATGATCCCAGACATGGAAAAACTATATTTACGTTCAGTCTTCAGTAGTTAGAAATACTTTTGGAAATTCAGTGAGAATTTCCATCTTGAAGTGGAAATAACCATCTGGAAATTATTGGACAGGTACACAAACCCAGATATTACCTTTAGCAAGCTCTGATTCGATTCCTCGGTTTCTCAAGCTATTATTGCTTATGTTTTAGATGCATTTAGGATGTGATATCTTCAGAGAAGGGCAAAAGGAGAGATGAATCTCATGATTGAAATGTTGGTTCTTTTGGTCTTTGTGCTGCTATAATTTCACGTCATTCTAGATACCAGTCAGCTCAGAAGTAGTTCCAGACACAGTAAACCCTCGTGCTCTCCCAAGTGGCATGTCCTGTAGTGTCTGGTGGCTTTACAATTTGTGGAAGCAACTTCCAGTGTCTTAGTATAGCACCTACTGCAGTTGAGACTGTAGTCAAGCCATGCACAATGTCTCTCTCTCTTGGATTCCCTGAGGAATGCACTGAAGTGGCCCTACAAACTTTCTTTTCTCCATAAGGATATTTCTTTATGAATCTATAGGAATCTATCAATAGGAATACAGCAGAGGCCTCTCCTCCTCTGTCAAGCCCAACTGAAAGTGTTTTCTGTTATAAAATGTTTAGGGGATAGAGACATGGAATAGCCTTATTCTTTTTTTTTTTTTTTTTAGAAAATTAGGCAAAAAATTAAATAACAACGAAAGCCACAACATCCATACCTGATTATACCAAGAGGGTCTAAATTTTCTTCCTCCTCTTCCTCTTCTTTTTTCTCATCTTTTTTGGCAGTCTCCAGTGTTTCAAGCTTTGAAATCAAGTCAGGTGTCTTCTCCTCTTTGAAAAAATCCAATGCATCATTTTCTTCATCTTCTTTCTCTTTGTCGTCAGGAATATTTTTACCCTTGAAGTCAATGACACCAGTAGATTTTGTTCCTGCAAAATACAATTACAGATGCAAAACTGAAAACACAGGACAACAACCATGTTTTATTTCATGGCTTGCACTTGTTCCTCATGATTTTGTTTGAGGAATGAAGTACACAATCAGGGTTTGTGAAATTCTTCCAATATTCCCAATTGTCCCTAGTTCTATTCAATCCCGTGTCATTATATGTCTGATCTGTTTACTGATTTAAAGCTGTCAACCAGAGAAAGACAGAGGAAATTAACTTCATCTAAAACATAGCAGCATATGCCTAATCTTCTCCTTTATGTTTCTTCTGTAGTCAGTGGAAACAATAGAATTTCCAGTCAGTGACTCATCACATCTAAATACAGTTGTTTGACAATAAGCTTCCTTCTGAAGTGCCTGTTTCTCCCCCTTGGCTACAGAGAGGGCCAAAATTCTCCACCCTGCTGTAGATAATTAACCTTCATATAACTAGAAGAGATAAAGTGCAGTTTTAGTTACTGATTTAATGAACTTGGGCTAAAATACAGCACTGGACAACTTGAAAAACAGTTTCCAAAGCGATTCTTCAATTCACGCTCAGAAGTGAAGTCTGAAGTTCTAAGTCTCTTCACTATGCAATGTCCATCAAACTGAACAAACTCAGCAAACTGAAACACTGAGAAAGTTTTCTGACCAAACTTGTTATATGGAAAACCTAAGAGTGAGAGAAGAGCTCATAACTATTCTGTTATGTGGAGTCTCTGGATGTTGAGGAAACCAATTTAAAATAATGAGACTAGCTAAAAATAGGCTAGCTTAAAAACACTACTGATAAATGAAACTCCTACCTTCATCTTTTTGACTGTTTAACATGGCAAGTGAGACTCATCTCACCTTGCTTTCATGACTGTGTGTGCCTAATCAGCTAGGGCAGAACACAGTAACTAAATGTGCATGTCTACACTGAAGAAAGGGTCTTACACTCCCCTTATAGGAAAGGAGACTGTTGGTGAGGGCAGAAAGTAGAGGTCAGGATGATGCATGTTTTATCTCCATGTATGTAAACATCTGTGTTTTACCATGTTAATTCTATCCAAACACATCTTTATATATTGACTATGTCTCCAACAGCTTAAGGACCTGTAGCGTAGATACTGAAGTTCATCAAGTTTGGTAGAGTGAGACACAGTACCCTATGGCAGATTTTGATAAAAAGGTCACATTACTTGTACATAATCTGTCCAGAGAATATAAAGACTTGTTCTGCTAGAGACATCTGTATCATATAAATAAAAGTTTAACACAACAATGAATTTTAAATTCTCTGTGGTCTACTTTCAAGAGAACCCTGACAAGGTTAGGGGAGAACTCTAAAACCTTATTTGGCAAAATCCTTTTGCTAATATTATGCAGTTTTGCCCCCCTTGACTTTAGGAAGCTGCTTTCAATCATGGGTTACGTGACTGATAAGGCTTTGGTTACAGGGATGCACACTTGCTAGTCTAACAGAGCTCCCAACCTGTCCACACTTCACACTTTTGCAAAACAGTTTGCACATGTTGACTTGCAAGTGCCTTGCACCTTTGGTTTGGTTCCTTAAAACTTGTTAGTTTTAAGGACTACTTGTTAGTTTTAAAACATTACAGTAAGAATCACGCGCAGCACCAGGCTGGTGTATTCTCTGTTCAGCAACACTCAGATGAATTAAGAGCAGAGAGTCCATCTGTTCCATTCATCCACTGACTCGCTGCTACATCCAAAGAATGTAAGAAAGGATCTGTGCAAATCATTGGAAGAGGCAACAAGAACTGGACATGAAACTAAGGAAAATTAAGGAGGAAAAAAAAAAAAAGCTAGAGAATGGTTTTAGCTAAGAAAGCTTCAGACTTTTACTCAAAAAGTCATTGTCAATAATTTCTTTAGGGTCTCCTTCAGCAAGACCTAGCAGCTTTATTAGGAGTGAAAAACAGACAAAGCATGGAGCCCTGCACTGTCCTTTCAGGGACCATCCCTATGCTAACAATACATGATTATTTAGCCTTTGAAACTTGCATGTTCTGAATCACAGCTTTAGTATATGCCTAAAGGAAATTAGAGATTGTGCAACTGACACTTTCACAGTGACCATTTTGGCGTCAGTACTTCCAAAGGAGACGTGTCCACTGAAAAGAGGGGAAAATAACAGCAAACATGATCAGAAAGAGTGGTGAGGCACGGACACAGCCTGCCCAGGGAGGTGGTGGAGTCACTGTACCCCTGGAGATGTTCAGGAAGCGTGGAGATGTGGCACTGAGGGATGTGGTTCAGTGGGCATGGTGGGGATGGGTTGGTGGTTGCACTAAAGGTCCTTTCCAACCTTAATGCTTGTATGGTTCTATGGCTGTGTAACACTGTAGGTGCACAAGAGAATATTTTTAGTGACAACCTTTACTGTGGCATTCTCTAGCTCTTGACTAGCTAAATCAAGTACCTAATAAGGCTTGTACTAAGCATGTCTGTGGGAGAGGGGGCACTCACATATTTTAGTTACCTAAAAACTCCAGTAACTCAGGACTCGTTGCTAGATCCTCATCTTTTGAGATGAATTTCATGATATCATTGAACATTGCTCTTCGTTCATAGATGTCAGATTCTCCCACAAAGAGAACTTTCCTAGGCAAGAGTGGAAGAGAAGCATGTGGATACCGTGCTGACAGTCTGTGGTAGAACTCCTCTATCTCGCTGTACTTCTTGGACACCTGAAATAGAACGTGTTGTCTAGGTAAGTTTCTTTAAATGCAAGAGGGAGACATGGGCAGCAAGCAGCAGTTTAAGCACTGTGAAGCATTAAACCTGGAACCTGAAGTGGAAAAACACGTATTACCGAAGAGCTTTACATATAGCCTAGTAAAAGCCTATTATCTACACAGTCAATCCCAAAGCACTGTTGCTGGTCTTCTAATTCTGTTATTAAAATCTTTTCCCTAATGAAATAGAAGTTCATTGCCAGATACCCAGTGTCCATTTGTCTGACTCATCAGCTAATTAAATACTGGAAAGATCACTGCTCCAGATACTTTCCTCTGACAGCTAAAATGCCTGTCTGCTAAAAGCAAGCTATGTGGTGACCAGCTTCAAAAGACAGGAGTCACAGCCAGGTATGTACCTGATGGAAAAAGCAGGATGAATCTTTCTACCACCACATCAGAAGACAGATTTCTCAGCCTTGCTGGGTTTCGGTGTGCTTCTGGCTATCAAGGCCTAAAACACTGGCACATCTGCTGCCCTGCACAGCACCCAACAGAGAAACTCAAGGGCAAAGACCTCAGCTGATCTCTGACTCCTTATCTGTGAGAAAATAAAAATAAACTACTTGGTCTTCAGGTTTTTGTATAGTGAGAAGATGCCAACAGTGGAGTCATTCCCTCTGCGTACAAAGACAGGAAGTCTGAGGAGAAATAAGGCCCAAGATACCACAGGAAAGTGATAACCATGGAAACGCTGGTTAGAAATAGGTTGGCTTCTGTGCCACAATCAGTTTTGAATTCAAGAGTGGAAACTAACACACATAAAAAATCCCCCACAAAAAGAAAACATACTGTCTGTAACTGATATTATGGTCATTATGGAGATTGACTGTCATGCTATGGGACTGTGGTGTTACACAGACATTATTCATCTTGATGTTCCATAATCTATTGAAGTATTTCAGTGAATACAGAGTTGGATTAAAAAAAAAACAAACAACCCAAAATCTAGCGCAAGCAGAGTCTGCATGGATCAGATCCTCTCCTAGGGTGGAACATTTACCCTCCTGTAACATACACTGGGAACTGTAGTGGAGTGAATCCCAATTAACAGTGAGATATAAGAGATGGAGTGACGCAACCACCACATCTTCTATCTTGGGATAGAAGAAAGCAGAGTACTTCCACCAGCACAGCAATAATAGAAGGTTAACCCACAAGAAGCATGGAAAGTATCTGGGAAATAAGCTAGACACTAACTCAGAACCCATAAACTATATCTACACAAGCAAACTTAACAGTATCAGAGTATATTCTGCAACAGTGAAACTTGATAGTATCTGATAGGAACCTTATAGTGTCTACTGGAACCTAATAGCATCTGGCATAGTTTTGCCTGGGCAGCTAGCATTCCCTCAGCTAAACTTTCAGTCCAAGATTTAGGCTGATGCAGAGCACTCAGTAGCCAGTTTGGGTAATTCCAGTCATTGTGAATGGTAAAAAAAGGTTTCACACTATAGATCCAGCCAGACTGCTAGCTGGCCTCCAGGCCAAAGAACAGGCCCTGGCATTAAACAGACACACCTAGGCCAGTCCACTGAGCTACAAATAGCCATAAAGAATAATAGCCACTCTAGCTTTCATGCTTCCCTGCCTTTCAGAGTAATTATCAACCAACCCACATAATTTGCAAAATATTTGCATTCCAGATGTACGATGATCATTCCGTGTTCAGCGTCCACCAATAAAAGGCAAACAGCTCTGCAAGAAAGATCAGAACCACAAAAACAAAACTGAGTTGATCGGGGAATGAAAAATTAGGATTTTAGACTTGCCTCATGCGTAAGTGTAGGCAACACCGTACTCTGCATGCAGGATCTGACACTCAATTCAGCAGGCAGGAACTTAAGAGATGGCAATAAAGAGACATTCCCAGAAAAACCAATTCTCCCTTTGAAGAATATCTCAAAACAAGAGAGGAAAGCAATTCTGGAATTTCTGAATCGCCACACATTTTGTTTAACTGTCCTCCAGTAGCACTTTGAGCAAGGTATGACACCAGAGCCCCTTCCACACATACTGTATAAGCACAGGTGTAAAGGCAATGAGGAAACCACTGGTATTTTTTCAACAGAATAAATAAATATTAACTTCCTCCCAGAAAAAAATCAAATCTGATTTGCGAAAAATGCCTAATATCTAATTAATTGCAATGACACATAACAAATTAATGTCTGAAACCAGTAGGAGACAGCAGCCAATCAACAAGACCAAGCCAAAACAGCTTTAAAACACTTAGAAAGGAACACTGAAATGAGACATACAAACATATTTCTCTCCCCTCTTAATTATCATCCCTCCTCCATCAAACACTGTACATTATTCATAAATCTCAATTTATGTCTGATTATACCACTGAACTTAAAGTAAACGCACACCCTTACATCCTATTGCTAATTGAGCCACTGTGAATCTGCGTGGGCTCTGCACAACACCATGCAACACCATATACAGAGTAATAATGCTATACTAAATGCATACTAACACGATACCCAAAAGCCTGCAACACATCATGCAGACTAGCATCTGCAGTGTGGGGATGCCCTCTGCTGGGATAACCTACCACACGCAGAGGATGTGAAACCTACAGCCCAAACCATTCCCTACTTAAGCCCAAGGCTGTGCCCAGCAAGTCCCTGCCTCCTGTGGCTCTGCTTCAAACCCTGGCTTACAATTCGATGTTTTCTGACAGTTTTCCAAGGAAAAGGCATGCAGCAAGTTAAATCTTCCTCTTCCTGGTTACCCTTCCCAATCCTTTGAAAAGAGGCTATGGATTCTATAGTACAAAATGCCAGGTTAAAAAACAAGAGGTTGTTCTAAAACCCGCTTTAACCATGCTATTCAGTAAATGAGATTCCATTTGATAGATATTAAAATATTTGTCTTACGTTACCTGTAATTCCTCCAGGATCCTGCAATTATCCTCACCCCCTCCTTCCCTGCCTCTACCCTAAGCCCCCACCTGCTGAAGCCAGCTCAAGTGCACTGACTTCAAGGGAGTTCTGTCAAGCTGCAATATCAAAGGCTTGATTTACTTAACTTCCAAAGGGCTAATCACACAGATACAGCAAAGCATGTGCGTATTTGCCAGGTCAAGACCCTATCTGCCCGTAACAATTAACATTCAACTTAGAGCTGAAGCAGAGACAGGGATGGGTTGAGTGGCTTTTTCTTTTTTTGCACCAGGAAACAGATAAGTAAGTCAAATACAATCACATTTAGCTAGAAGGTTAAGAAAACCACCAGAGAGTTCAAAGTGAAAGACTGTAGTTTGCTGCTAATCCCGCAAATCTCATGCATGTGCCTTACCCATCTCTCCACAAGAACCTCACGCATCAAAGTACGCACTGATGCCTGTAGGACACAAGCCTGGGACTCTCAGATGTGCATAGGAGAATTTGATTCCACTCAGTATTAGTGGGATTTAATGTCTCCTTTCCCTAAGCACCTTTTAATGCTTCAAACTTGTCTTCATATACTTTCTATTTACACTGAGGGTTTCAGCAAAACAGAGGCCTTCGACAGAGCTAACTAAGCCCCCTTGGCCAGCCAATGCACACTAACGACTCAATTTTACAGTATTTCATGAAATACATATCTGTGACTACTTTTAAAAAGCCCACTTCTTCCCACTGTCAGAAAATGGAAGTACAGTAGCATTATCCCTTAAAACATCCAGCAGCTTTGGATACAGGAATCAAAAGCATCCCCACCCACAGACAGCACAAACTGAGCTTTCATTTGTGTGCTTCCAAGGTAAGCAATACCAGAATTAATGCTGCTTGCTGATCTCATGGTTATGCATTAAGGTAGATTTTAATTACATGACCACCTGCTTGTTCTTCTCACCTGTTTCACCCAGCAGAAAAGGAGCACTCTAATATTTCTTCTTTAATCAACACGAACTCTTTAACAGCTGCTGAACTGACTGCTACACCATCACAGAGGTTACAGCATGAAGGAATTTATCTTTCCAACCTACCTGTGTGGTCAGGAAACTGCAGCCCCAGCTCAGGGATTGTAAGGCTCACAGAAAGTAGGCCATTATATGACAACAGGCAAGAAGAAAAACACACCCACACGCTTTTACTCCTTTGTTTTATGAGAGGAAGACAGTTCTGTAGTAAATTTCTTCTCAAAATGTGCTGTGCCTGTCCAACACCAATACTTACTTGCTCAGCCTGGAAAAGGAAAGAACTTGACTAATAAATGGTACTTGTAAAAAAGAAGTAATTAAACCAGGCACAAATCTGTTGGGTGGATTTTTAATTAGGCTGGGAAGAGAGAAGCTCATTGCTAAAGAAGGTGAGGTGTGGTTTGAAGAAATGCATTTAAGATACACAAAGCCTTTTCTTCTCACAGAAAATGGTATATCTGTAGACAATAATTAAAGGTTACCTTTGCAGCAGTACTTGATGCAGCACCAAAGATAAAACCAATTTCACTGTTTCAGTAGGACAAGAGGATTCTGACCTTTGAAAGAAATGCAGCTGAGTTCTCCTTTAATTACCAAATATAACCTCAAGGTTACGCAGTTCTATAACCTATCTGCTGTATTTTACACAGAGCTTTTTTTTTTTTTTTTTTTTAATTAAAAAATCCCTTCTGTTTCTCAAACGTAGATCTGAAGGTCGCCAGGATGTGGATTTCTTCTGCTGTTAACGCTTCACAAACATTTCATTTGAAATGCTGATTTTGCACAGTCCCATTATGGCCGAGGAGCACAGAACTCTGAATTGCTCAAACCCACAGTAAAGGACAGGAGCTCCCCAGGTCAGATATGAAATCTCATTCAACTGTTTGTCTAGCTTTGGTCAGAGAACCCTCACACATCTTGATCTACTGTGGTCTAAACTACAGCGCTGAGGTCAGAGCTAGCTTAGGGGATGCTTCTGCCCTGCTCACCATCTTTTCCCAGAGAACATGAAGATGCTTTTTGTGCAAGAAATACTGTACAAGCACACAGCTAGCTGCCTGCAGCTGCTTGTAGCCCAAAGCACAGAGAGTTTCACTGCTGCCACCTAGGGCATGAGAAGGTATAGGACATTGATTTCAATTGGAAGCAGGCAGAAAAGCAGCCAGACAAGGAACATCAATTTACAAGGGAAAGGAACAGAGGAAGGAAGAGGAAAAAAAAAAGCCCAAAGTTCCCAAAATACAGATCAGGCTCCAAAAGTGGATTATATCCACAGCAAACGAAATTCCTACCACACCTACCAATCTTCTGTAACCTGTCACCTCAGCATTGTGGCACCAGCTCCTTCCTCCAACTTCCCAAATGTTGTAATTTCAACTATAGCAAAAAAAAGTTTCATCTCCCATTCTGATCACATGCTTGGTAGGGCAGAACAAGCACAACGTTGTTTCTGTTTCATCCTCCAGATGTCTCATCTCACTCCTCCTTGCTAGACCACTTACATGTGTTGAACCTGCTGCCCAATAGTACCTCCCCACTCATCTGGCTCTCTCACACTTAGTTTGAAAACATTCTGGGGAAGGGTCTCAGTTTCTGTTTGTGCTGGTACAACACTAAACACAATGGAGCACTGTGCAGACACAAAGCACCACAGGAGACATACAGTCACTACCTTTTGGAAAGAAGAAGTGACAGAAACTCAACCCAAGTGGGGGTTTCAGATGCCTAAACACAAGGCAGATGCAATGTACAGTCTTCTACTTCATTCTATTCCAATGCCCTATGTCCTATGTCAAAGTGCATCACTCAACACAGGCATCTCAGGCGCTACCAGCCATGCACAGTAGGCAAACTGAGTTCATCCACATCATAGATGCTCTGCTATATTCTTCTCAACAGTACTGCAATTGCTGCAATGGGAAAATACGGGTCAAATGTAGACATCTAACCACAGAAAACAAACTGCTCTGCCTAAACACAGGTATCTATGCCATCTGAGATGCTCTGGGGTACCAAGATTATGTGGGGCAGCCAAATATCACACAAAACCTATGGGAGACCCACAGCACTGTGACAGCTTCTTGAAAAAGCCCAGGGCACCTCAGATAGTCTAGACAATGAGTGGCATGCAAGTCAGTTGAGCCTTAAGCATTTTAGCCCGGAGTCAAAGCCCCCAACCCCAGCTGTCTAACATGCAGAATGCCCTCTCTTTACAGTCAAATAGGAGAGGCATTTCCAGAGGATGAGTCACCCCATTCCCCTTCTCCCCAGTGACCACAAAAGCAGTGATAGATTCAGATTAAAATATCTAACTTGCAGAGAGAGAAACGAGGACAGGTGAATCCCTCTGTTTCTTCCAGTAATACATACAGAAGATTCACTGGAATGAATTGATGCAAAGCATCCATTCTCCCACCACTCAGCTCGGAGTTTTAAATTACTTTCATATACCAAACTATGTAATATATCAGATTTAGTCAGCTGAAAAAAAAGTATCCGATGAGACAAATGTTACTCCCATCAGGCTACACCACAGTTTTCTTCCTCATAAAGAACAAAATGTCAGGAGCTCTGATCTGAGAAGAAATCAGAAAGGTTCACTTCACTTGAGAAGAACAGCTGAGTGCGGAAAATTATGTTACTCAGAGAGAACAGCCATGGGAGTGGATAACCTCAGCAAGCAGGGGGAGCACAGTAGGAAGTCTGCTGCTTCTCTGGGTAGAAGAGCTGATTTCAACTCCTTTTTCTAAGTGAAGCACAGTATCAGATAACAAAAACCAGTTTAAAACCTTGAGTTTAGTTGGGTTCCTCCTTTCACAGAGCTGCATGGAAATAGTGCATAATACAAGCAGGGACTACCATGCAAAAATAGCAACTCCACATCCCCTTCTCTCATCTGCCCCCGTCTGGCCCTTCCCCTGTCCTTCACCAATGACTGATGAGTGCTGTGCAACTCAGAGGCTCAAGAAACAGGTGTAAATTAGTACTAAACAAGAAACCTCCAAACACCATTTTTAGCCAGGACCAGCTGTCACTACAGAATGGCCACATGACAACTGCCACTGGCAGAAAGAAGGAAGCACTGCAAGAGAGAGAACCACTCGTTCCCCCCAGAACAAGAGACGAGAAGAGAACAGTCTCTTGCCAGCACTTTATCATGGTCTATCACTTAAGGAGTGCAACAAATGAGATTTGCTCCTCAGCAAGGACATTTTTTTCAGAGCATTGACAGATTTTTCTTTATCTGCAGTTCAGACTGTGTGCACATCCATTTACCAGCTATGTCCCATTGAGCATAAGTTATACTAAGGCTAATGGTCTACCAGGTAACCACATTTGTCATTCTAACATTACAGTTATCATCAAAACATCTAAAAAGTGCAGATATTGATGCCAGAACCAAAATAATCAGAGTGGATTGAGAGAGGGAAAAAAAAAAGATTGCTAACTTGGCACAGATTAAACATTTACCATAAACTGAACAACATCCTCAGGTTTGTGCTTTGCTGACTTGAAGGCAGCCAGTCGGGTAACGACGACGATGTGGTACTCCACGTGGCCAGACATCATCTTCCCACGGACCTCCTGGTATTCTGGCACTGATAAATCCAGCCCAGTGTGTGTATTCTGAATTTGCCTAGGAAGGAAAATACACACAGAGCTCAGGCACCGGCACACACACTTTAAAAATGAACCTCTCTGAGGATCCAATTCAAAGCTCCAGAAAGTCAGTATTCCCATTTCAAGAGGGCACAGGACAGACCCTACACCGCAGCAGTACAACACTGCACAGACATCACCTATCACAGCATGAAATAATACATATTGCTTCTGAATATTATAGTCCCAACAAACACTGTTTTACCCTGCAGGGCAGAAGAGAAGATGCTGTGATCTCCCATTGTGTCTTGCTCTGAAACAAAGCTCTGGTCACAATTCAAGCCCTATCCACCTTCCCTTTGTCTTTAGGCATCTCCAGGAAAGGCAGAAACAAGAGCTGAAAGGAGCCAGAAAAGTAATAAGGAACTGGCCTGGATGCAGGGACAACTTTATATCCGTAAGAGCCATCCAGGGAACAAGAGTGAAGATTGTTGGAGCAGACTGCTGGGCCAGCTATGCTGTTTCCACCCATGGAGCTTCTTGAAGAAAATTAAACAAACACCTATTAGGAATGTCCTTAAATCAGGTTAATTTAGGCCCCCTGAGCAAGTTAAAGCCATCTGTGGTCCGTTCTGAGCTGCCTTCTAGTCTTGACGTGCCATGTCAAAACTTGACAAGTGCTTCTGAAACTCCAGTTTTCCCAGGGAGGCAACATCTGAATCTCCAACTGAAGAACCTTTTTAAAGAGATCATCTCAAGAGTTCTCTACAAATCCAACAGCAACAAAGAAGGGCAGAAGCCCATTTTTTTACCTAGTCCTTTTTGCAAGGCGTGTCTGGCTTTTGCTTTTTTGGATTTATTTTATTTTGACTATATGTGCTGGTACAGGACACGCTCCACAGACGAGCAGTGACTCAAAGTCGTGAGAGCAGTAATAGGTCTGTCTGCTGGTACTTGAGACGGACTGACTGACTTCTTCAAACGCAGCCACAGATAGAGGATGAATGATAAATTAATCTGCTTTTCACTTCTGTTATAAACAAAACGCTTCTGAACGGCCTCACTTAGCTTCCAACATCAACCACACACACAGCGCACTGCGATGACAACGTCGCTGTAAAAGTCACAGCATCAGAGAGTCGCACAAACATCACGAAGCTCGAAGGACGCGCCCACACGCAGCCTTTTTATTTCAAAGCTGTCAGAAGTCCCAGCGACAACAATGACAGCACGGAGCTCTTCCGGCCGCGGAACGTCACAAAACCTCGCAGGACAGCACCGGCCCCAAACCCCCCGGAGCCGGGGAGCCGCGCCCTCAGCCACCGCGCCCTCAGCCGCCTCCCAGCGCCCGCCGCCCCGTCCCGGCCGGTACCTGGTGGTGACCAGCACGGCGGGCGCCGCGCTGTGCTGCATGGCGAGGGATCGCGCTCCTTCCGGCCCGCCCTGGGAGCAGAGGCCGCTCGCTGCAGGCGGCTGAGCGGCCGTCACGGGGTCCCGCCTTCCTCTGGCTGCGGTCCGGCCGGATGTGTGCCGGCTGCGGTGCAAAAGGAACGTTGGGAAGCGTGGGGAGAAAAGAGCGCTGTGCCACGTAGTCGGCAGGATTCGAACCTGCGCGGGGAGACCCCAATGGATTTCTAGTCCATCGCCTTAACCACTCGGCCACGACTACACCGGCATGCGAAGCTGCTGGCAGTGAAACTGCAGTAATTTATCCCTGCTTTGCAGCGCTGTGCCACTGCGGGGTTCCAGCTTTTCTTCATCCAGGAGATGCTCCAGGCCCTAAATCATCTTTGCGGCCATCTGAAGTATTCTCCCTGAACTGAGGAGCCCAGAACTGGACGCAGCACTCCAGATGTGACCTCAGCAGGGCAGATGAGGGGGCAGATCCCCTCCTTCCACCTGCTGGCCACGCTCCCCTTAATGCACCCCAGGATAGCATTTTTCCTTCTTGACCACAGTTGCACACTGCTGGCTCACGGCCAACCACAACACCCAGGTCCTTTATCACAGAGGTGATATAGTAAGTATAGTATAAGTATAGTATAAGTATAGTATAGTAAGTATCTCCAGCAGGTCAGCCCCCAACCTGTACTGATGCATGTGGTTATTCCTCCCTATGTGCACTGCCCTACGCTTGCTCTTACTGACCTACTGACCCTCATCAGGTTCCTCTCAGCCCAAGTCTGCAGCCTGTCCAGGTCTCACGGACTGGTAGCACAGCCTTCAGGTGTGTCAGCCACTCCTCTCAGCTTTGTTTTGTGTTAAAAGAGAAATGGAAATCAAACCTCTTTCAGGTGTCTAGAGGGAGAAGCAGCACCCAAGGGAAGATCAGTGGTTACATCCCAGACAGGGGCAGCTGAAGGAGTCAGGGATGTGATGGACTGCACATCCTATGCCATCAAAAGCATCACAGAATCATAGAATCATAATATATATATACAAAACTGAAACCTGACAGAAGCAAACTGTATGATGTATATAGAGCTGTCTGCTGGAGCTGAACAACTATCTTGCCTTTATCAGTAGCAACAACTCAGAAAGTTTGGAGTGTGATTTCACAGAATCACAGAATGGTGGAGGTTGGCAGGGACCCCTGGGTCCATCTGGCACAACTCCTTCTCAAGTAGGGGCACCCAGAGCAAGAGAGCCCAGAACCCATCTGTGTTCCACTTTGTGCCTATGGCCTCTTGCAAAAAACCCAACATTTCCATGCTACTTTGAATGCTACATAGAAAATTTCAGCCATTGAATTGACTTTTTTTTTTCTTTTTTTTTTTTTTTTCTTTTTTTTTCTGGAAAAGGCAGGTTTTAAACACAGTATTTAAGGAGAGATCCTTATAACCTCAGGAGATCATGTAGCAGCTTCATCGGTAAAGTGGCTATTCCAGTTTCACCATCAACATCAAAAACACTTTATTATTTCACAAAAATAAAATGAAAATGTGGTGAGTTATTTTCAGACCTCAGAACTGTGATACCTAATATAGGCAATGACAATTAAATTACACTACCCTTACAAATCTCATGATTTTGAGATACCTTTTTAACACATGGTTCAGTAATATGGTGGAGGCTGGTGAATGAGTTGATATCATCATTTTCCCAAACTTTTCATTAAATCCCTTGTAAGAACCAAAAATCGTTTCTACTCTCCTGTCTTCATGCCTATCTGCCCTTCTTGCTTGCTGCACAAGCTGGAAAAGCTCCTGTATGTGCTTCCTTCAAAATGGGAAGAATGTTCCATGGAAGAAGAAGGAAAGTCAAGAAGACCCTGCCCAGACATTCAGCACAAGCCTGTAGGTATTGCAGACCCCATGCCACAGACAGCCAGATGAGCTCAGGGAAGGTGAACTGTTTGTTTCTGGATTAATTCTTCCGTCCACTAGAGAGCACTCAAATCTAACCAATAAACCATGACAGGTTGCTGGTGCTAACTGCAGCCCCCTCCTGTGTCTCACCCTCTGGGACCCAGCCCTGGAAGCTGTCTCAGAGTCACATCTATCTTCTGGCTGGGAGCACAGCCCTGGCTGGGTGTGATTCTTGGCAGCTCTCAGGTTTTCTTTTCATCTCCCCCAAGCTAACAGACCAGCAGCAGAGAGTTTATAAGTCTCAGGGGAATTATCCGCCAACTTTTGGATCCCTGGCAAAATGCTCTGCTTGTAATCCATGGATGTGGAGAAATCAAAGCCCTGCATAGAGTATAGTAAGTAAAATGGAGGGGCTGGAAGCAAGGACAAGGGAAAGTACTTCCATACAAAATAAATTGGCTATGAAAACACATTTTAAAAGCTGAAATGAAACCTTTTTCAGCCTAGATCATATTGAGAGAAATACAATATCATTTAATTACTGCACTGGAGTAATAGGATTCCAGTGAGATGATCGGTCACTTTATCATTTCTACCACTATTTGTTTTCAGATGACAATTACAGAACCCAGATGCAAACCACTAGGAGATTTTATATTAAGTCTGGAGTGCTGTGTGAGTTTCAAAGGTAACAGAAATGCTAGATTTAAAGTTCTCTGTTGTTATATGATGTGGTAAGGCTGTTGATAGCCTGTCAAAGCAGCCTTCAAATCTACACACCTCCTAAACTCAGGATCGATTTATTCTGGGAAGAAGGGAGGAGAGTTATATTGCTGTTCTTCATTATACCTCATGTTTTCCCCTCCTAACAGTTAACCTGTAATATGATGATCCCATGTCAGGAATAATCCAGTAAAAATCATAGGTAATCCCTGATGAAAGATAACCTGGCTCTTGCCCTTTTGCAGTCCTAGAATTAAAATTCCCTGTCTCTAAAGTTTGGGAGACTGATGTAAATCATAGATAAAATTCATGTTAGACAGCTGGAAAGAAAAGATGAGGTTTTCTGGTTTGCCTCAATTTAAAAATAAAGTAAAAGAAACCATACAATTAATATATATATATATATAATTCTATATTATTAAAAAACTGCAGTAGAAACTGCAGACTTCCTTCCTTCCTTCCTTCCTTCCTTCCTTCCTTCCTTCCTTCCTTCCTTCCTTCCTTCCTTCC